AAAAGCAAAAAAATCAGAAGAATTACACTGTAAATTTCAAGAAAGATATTGCATTTTAATAGCCTGCAAAATAAGGGAAGGCCTAAAGTCAAAATAAGAGAAAGTACAATGCGATTAAGTTTCATTCACGCAGATAGATATTACGTCATAAGGAAATAGAACATGGGACAGAAGGAGAGAGAAGAAATTAACTAGATTAAAGATGAATTGGTTATAGAAAAGAAAGTAATCTATATGAGGATAGTAAGTAAATATAAGCGCTGCAATAATGAAGTGAAAAAGGAATATAAATGAGTGCGATCAAGGAGAAACAAATGAAAATACGCGTATCAGGCTCCATAGTTTTTATATTGTAGATATGAAGACCAAGCTGGAATCGCCTTCTGTTTGGTGACAGTCCCCTTTAGCCTTATAGAGGCTGTTCCACTTTGTTTTCGCAACTTGGTCTCAACATTAGGGAGACCTTGTGGAAAGTACCTAGTCCTGTATCCTCTGCCATAAAATTCGTGATTTCCAGCTTCGGACCATTGACTTGGTACATTCCTTGACTTGGTAAACGGCATCTAGTATCGGTGGTGGAGATGATTACATTTCCATAAACCCACTTGTAGCGTCACATTTTTAGGCGATTTTAGAAGATACGAGAGCACAATATAGTGTGAATAGGTTGATTGACCATATGGAGTGGGCTTGAGAGAAAGAGGGGCAAAGAGTGATCCCACAATGGTTGAACATAAAATTGGTCAAGAGTATTGTCTTCACTTGTCATTTCGATAAGTTGTAATTCTGTGCTAATGATGGCGCCCCTCACTGACTATGCCGACTATGATGCCAGTGATGTACCAAGTCAATGGTCCGATACTATAAATCAAGAATACTATGGCAGAGGATATAGGACTAGATATCCCTAAAAATGCGACCACATTACAAAAACAAAGTCGAACCAACTCCATAGTTATTATCGAAGGCATGAAGACCAAGATACTGTGGCCTTTTGTATAGTCGTGGTCTCCTTTCGTTGTATAGAAGCTGTTTAATCTTGTTTTCGCAACTTGGTTATATTGACAGGAAGATCTAGAGGAACGCACCTAGTCCGGAGTCGATAGTTTCCAAGATAATTTCCAGAGTCTGACAGTGTAAGTGGTACATGCCCAGTCCTCAGTTAGCCTTGCCATTCTTAACACCACACTACAACTCGTCAAAGATTCAATTAAAGTTGATTCCTTTACTCATTGTCTGTTAAACAGTTGTGATATCTCTCCTTCCATTCTGGGCTATTCACTTATCCTATAGTCTCGTATCACCCCTTTCCTATCTCAATTTCTTATATGCTTATTTGAATGGGTGATACGTGGATATAGAATAGGTTAATAAGGCAGGACAGAAAAAGAGATATTACGACTGTTTATCAGACAATTGGTCAAAGGATCGACTTCACTTGTCTCTTTGACGAGTTGTAGTGTGGTGCTAAGAATGGCAAGGCTCACTGAGGATGCCGACTACAATGCAGGTGAAATGTCTGAGAATGTACGGCGTCCACGGTCACACTCTGGGAATTATCACACACAAGGTGAGTCCCTCTATTTCCTTCTACCAATATTATCAAGTCGTGATAACAAGGTCAAATAGCTTCCATAGTTTCTAGTTGTTATTGGGGTTTAGATAATGGCAAAAGTAATTGATTTTATTTTCAAGATCAGGATTGTTAAAGGACTATTCAAACGATTTTCACTAGTGAGCTCAGACACTGGAAAAAATCATAATTCAGGCAGAGTTTAATTTTTGAGCAACGGGAATTTATTTGGCCTACTTCTTTGGATCAGCTTCAAGGGGTTGATCATAAAATACTAGTTTCTAGCATCATGAAGCATATGCCATTCAAATCTTGTCCAAAAAATAAATGGGAAGATAAGAATCAGTCTAAGCTTTGTAATATCGTCTAGAATGAAGTTTTTTCTTCCTTTCTTTGGACTTCAGATCTAAGTCATCTCTTACTTCTCAAGCAGCAACTATTACTACGTGTGGCCACGGAGTTTCCATTTTAGCATCCTGCAAATATCTTCTCTATCAGCACATTAGAGATCCATCAAAATACGAAGCTATGCACTATAGCGTTAGCTGAAATCGAATTATTCCTGATTGCTTGAAGATTATTCAGGCATTGTAGTAGTAGAGAGGATATGGCTAAAATTATGCTCTATTTTAAGAATTAAAAGCTATTTAAAATTCATATTAAATTGTCGTTATAAGGAAAAGCTGATTTTTGAATAATCCAATGGTAGAACACCGCAGAGCAACTATTGTTATGAACACAGTACGGGGACATTTCTTAAGCTTCGAACCTTTTGAGGATGAATTCAAGTATACATTAACATTGATGCAAGGAATTTCCATTCGTAAAGGGTTCCAGTTACCATAGATTCTTTATCAATTTATGTGATATAGAGTGGCTGGAACTCATATACACAATATCTATTCAAATTTATTTCTGTCCATCTGATCTACTAATCACCTTCCGAAGCATCCTGACTCCAATTGGGCTATGCATCAGAAGCTATAAAGTTTATTCTTCGACATTCGTTAGCAATGCTTTATCTCTAACTCTGATAACCGGTTAAAACAGCTCATATTGCTGGATCACAAAATTTTATGTGATCTCTATAATTTTCCACGATTATATTATTTTTAATGGTAATTTGGAGGCCAGTGAAGTAAATAAATAGAGATATCGGAAGCAGCAACCAAAGGATCAACTTCATTTGTGTCTTTGACGAGTTGTAGCTTGGTACCAAAAATGGCAAGGCTAAACGTCTGGGAATGCACCATTTCCACAGTCCGGTGCTGGAAATTATCATATACACTATGGACTACGGACAAGATGCGTTCCTCTAGGTCTCCCTGATAATACGACAAAGTTACTATAGCAAGGTCAAACCACTTCTATAAGATGAAAGGAAAACGGGACCATACTAAATGCCGCATCATCTTAGCCTTTAAACCTTGAATTACTAGTTTATCACCTGATAGTTATAGCTAATAACCAGACAATAATAATGATAATAATATAATATAAATAATATAAATTTATATTTTCAAAATTATTGCACTAGTAATACCAATTTACTGGTTGTACCATAAATAATTTACTTATTCGAGCATATGTATCTCCATCACATTCAGTTTTATCCGAAAGATTGGATAACTATATTACTGGATCCGGATTGTAACAGCTGAGAAACGATATTTCATCATTTATAATATTAAATAAGCTTCTTTAATTTTGTGATTACCATGGCAATTCAGAACTGACTACTATCTGGTTGTGACTGTTGATGTATCAAAACTGACTTCACAGTAAAAGTCACCAAAAGTATTAACAAGAAATATTAAAAAGTTGTTTGATCTTGATTTCGCAAACTGGTCATATTGGCAGGAAGACCTACGGGAATGCATCTTGTCCGGATTCTATAGTATGCATGATAATTTCCGGAGTCGGACCGTGGACTTGGTACATTCCCAGACGTTTAGCCGGCATCGTCAGAGACAAGAGACAGACGACTATGCTATCACTGCTCATTTTGCCCTGGTCCCTTTATTCATTTGTTATATCTTTCATTCTGCCCTTGGATATTCTGATGCTGACTATGATGCTGGCGAAACGCCTGGGAATGTATCAAGTCGAAGGTCCGACTTTGGAAAGTATCATGCATACTATGGACTACGGACAAGGTGCGTTCCTCTAGGTGTTCCTGCCAATATGGCCAAGTTACTAAAACAAGGTCAAACAATTTTTGTACAACGAAAGGAGACCGAGACCATACAAAATTCCACACTATATTCTGTCTCTTGTTCTCATTTTGCATGCTTTCTTAATAGTTTCAATTTGTTAATGGTATCGGAAATATATGATTGGCTGAAACTAAGCTAATGTAACGCTCACTAAATTATCCGTATATCTTTTTGCCTTTCTTTTCTATCCTCTTTGTAAGAAAACTATGTTTACAGCGAAATATATTTATTTAGTAAGCAGTTAGTTTTTACTTTTTAAAATGATATTTTTATGTGAATTGTCAAGACTAAGCTCGGTTTTCATTTTAGCCCTATACGCTCAACAAAAGGCCAGATAATTTGCCATAGCTCAACAACGATTTGTATAAATAAACCCTTTATTATTTAGTCAGCCTTACTGTGATCAGTTCCATTAACCGTGGCTCTAATTATTTGGATACATCCCGATATATATTTATGATAATTATTACATTATTGCACAAAACTACTATGCAAGAGAAGACGGGCCTCAATTTAGTGTTTTGGCAAATTATCAATATTGGTCCAGGTAATGGTCAAGTAATACCTATTCGTGCCCCTCATTTTTGACCTGCTTTTTGACTAATTCCTAAATGTAAAGCCTAGTTTAGGAAGATACTATTAATTGAGGACTGACATGGAAATATTAAAAAAATGTTATGATACAATTCACCACTTCTCTCTATTTTTAGCCATCTCTTACTCTATAGTCTGACCTACTTGACTCCATTTCCCTTCCGACTACTCTACGTCATCTTATACTCCACTCAGGTCTCCTCAGCTGCCAAGTCGCTTTGCATGTGGGTACGAGCCATGGAAGTGTATGGCCGTGTCTATCGCGTGGTAGAGCCCAAACGCCAACGCCTCCAGCAGGCTGAGTCGGTGCTGCGTGAAAAACAAGCCCAGTTGGCCGCTGCACAGAAGAAACTGGATGAAGTTAATGCCGAGATGCGACGCCTCCAGCAGGAATACAATGAGAAGGTGAATTAGAAGATTCATTAGAGCTTATATTAAATTGGATTTACGCAAAATAACGTTCACTATAATTATCCTCAAATGTTCTAATTCAAAATTGGAGGCACTAATAATCTATATTTTATTTTTAGGCTCTATTTCTTGAAGGTATATATTTTTTCGTCTCATAAACTTACTTAAAATAGCCTGTTTGATGCTAATGAGCCTATAAAAAACCTAGAGTAATCATGTACAATAACTAAAATAAATACTCT